AGCGGTCCGTCCTTCTCTATCAACTGGGACGCGTATCCAGCGCGGTGACATACGTGTTCGATTGCGCTCGTGCCTCTGGGACCGCGCAGCTCCAACCTGCGACACGATTCCAAAAGGTCAACGAAACCCTCGGAGTGGCTGAGAATGAACACTACCGATCTGACCGACTCGATACCTTGGCCTTCTATGAAAACAAGCCCGCTTACCGTGTCTGGTCGAGCTCGACCAAGACCGTCGCGCCTTGGACGTCTTGGACTGTTCCAGATATGTAGCGCTATATGGCGTCAACGACACGGTTCTCCTTGTGGACCAGAATCTCCCACGACAGCGCGCTCCAAAACTGTCGACGAAAACCCCAATCTCCGAGGTCAAACGTCGTTTGGATCATGTCCTGATCGTCGTGTCTCCATCAGTTCGTTAGCCGCATCCGCTGTTTTGGCGTGCCCAATCAAAGCGCCGCCACCTATCACTGACCTCCATTTTGCGCTAGGAACAAAAAAGACTAGATTTTGCGCCGTCGTTGGGCTAGCGGTACGACTTGGTTGTATCGTCGATCGGCCCAACACCTCAATGCGAATGGGCGTACGCTGGTATTGGGCCTATGAAGCCCTTGAATGAGTGTATCGTTGATGTGATCGTCGCAACTGAATAACCGCAAATGATAGTAACGCCGCCGATGGGTGGTTCAAATGTGCGAAGCTCTCTCTACCATGGCCAACCAAATATGGCATACGCCTGCTCTCTTGATACTTGGAGATGTGAAGGGTGTATCACGCGCCGCCTGTCCGTTCGTTTTCGGTACCTCTGAATACTTCTCCCCGGGTAATTTTGGTGCCAGTTGATGATCCGTGGAGCTTCCATAACGCGCCACGTCGCATACTGAACTTTCGTCTTCTATAGCCCGGGATCGAAGATGGGACTTCGTTACTCCCGAAAAGCCTCGTAGTACGGCACTCGGCATCCTCAAAAGCTTGTTCTACAAAGCAGTCGTAATGGTCGTGAATAATTTTACCACAGGATGTGATCGTCGTAACGATCCATTCGGCCACACGCGCAAGAATGGTGATAGGCCGTTTCTTCGTCAGGGAGTTCCTGGTTAACCAGCGATGGATTACGCCGCAAATCTGTCATCAATCGATCCAACTGTTCCGCAGATACCCGCGTACATCGCCGTGCGCTACTACGGTCACGAAGCCTCGGATGTGGGTGAGGAATGCGCGACATTGGGCTGGGGTTCCGTCTTCTTTGAGTTGAGCACACTCGGCGATAGTGAACGGATCGTTTGGGTCCTCGTAGCAGACCATGTGTCTCTCGCCGCTGCGGTGAGGCCATAGATACCTGGGATCAGTGGATTGCCTTCCGCATCGCGAATGGCCATTGGGCATCCGGCACCCAGCAACATACCGATCTTTCTCCTGCTCGTGGAAAGGCACTGATGCAAAAACGAGATTGTTGATCGGGATGTTGAGTGGGATAGTCCATGGGAGCCTCTACGAATTCCTTGTGCCTTATTTCCAAGGTATGCTTGGTTACCAGACTGCCGGCGCGTCTGCCCTATCAGGTCTGTCGCTGAATGGCTAGTGTACTCGATTGCTTTTCCGCACTGTATGCCTTCATCATGCCGAAGCGGTTGCCGATCCCGCATTTAGCGCTTAATTCAACTGTACGGACCCGCCAGCGCAGGATTCTATGCTCCACTGATCGACTGTCAAGCGCGTGAGAAAACGCGCGTGTACACCAGTGTTTCGGCATGGTGTGTTACGGGTCAGGTCTGCGATTTGAATGCTAGTCATAAGGAACCGATATCGGCACGTAATCGTTCTCCAGGATGGTGTTGCCGGAGGCTGTTCGTCAAATCCGCACCACCTCTGGCTCCGCAGCACCGCGTTGGTCTGCCGCATCCACGAACCAGTCCACGATCTGCGGGTGGCAGGTGAAGACCAGCACCTGGTTGGTCTCGGAGAGTTCGATGAATGAGCCGGCTGCTTTGTTCCCCCTGGTTGGGTCGAAGTTGACCAGCGCCTCGTCCACGATCACCGGCAGGCGTTCCGCCCGCTGGCCCAGCTCCAGGATCAGCCGAAGCGCAGCGCCAGGAACAGCTGCTCGCGGGTGCCGCGGCTCAGCTGTTGGGGCGTCTTGTCGATGCGCCCGCGGCGTCCCGGACCTTGATCTCGGAACTGCCCAGCGGGGAAAACACGGCTTGGTACGCGCCATCGGTGACGTCGAGGAAGAAGCGCTCGGCGTGGCGGATCACATCCGGTTGCCGCTCCTTCTCGAACTTGCTCTGCGCCTGCCGGATCAGGCTCTCGGCAATCGTGCGCGCCGCCCAATCCCGGGCGTGACCCTGCAATTCTTCGGACAGTCGATGCCGTTCCAGCCGCAATCTCGATGAATCTTCCTCGGAGGCCAGCCCGTCCAGCGTCGTTCGGATGGCCCCGCGCTCGGTGTCCAGTTCGGACCGTTGGTCGTCTACCGCTTCCAGGGCCTCGCCGGTTCGCCGCAAATCGTCGCGGATGGTTTGCATTTCGGATTTCTCCAAGCTGGCGCGGAACGCGTCCAGCGCGTCGCCCGGCCCGCTGATTCGCTGCAACTGATCCAAGGCGTTGGAGATTGTCGCGTTGAGGACGGTCCGTTCCTGGAAAATCCGGTCGATCCGACGGAAGTCGTCAGAATCCTCTGCACCTCCGGACTCCAGCAACGCCGCGATCTGGTCCGCGTTCTGCTGCTGGCTCTTTTGCCGCGCCGCCAGATCCTGCTTAGCCTCCTCCATTTCTTTCTCGGCATCGGCCCGGGTTCTGGCCGCTTCGGATATGTCGCGATGCAGGTCAATGATGTCGTCGGCGACACTGGCAACCCTGGGGTAGTCGCCCCACTCCGCCTCAAAGTCGTGGGCTTCCGCCAATGGTCGAGCCATCGCGACGAAATCGTCGATGTCCTTCTGGATGGCGGCGATGCGATCTTGCATTTCCACCACATCGCGGTGGTGGGTGCGCGCCAAGTCCACCAGGGTACGCAGTTCCTGAATGGCATCGGGTGAGAAGGTGTCCCGCAGCCCACGCTGCCGCAACCAGTCTTGCCACGCCTGCTGCTCAGCCTCCAGCGTCGCCAGAGCATCCTGCACAGCCTGCTGCGCGTCGTCCCGACGCTGGGTTTGGCGTTCCGCGCGTTCGATCGCCTGGGCCAGCGTCGTTTCCACTTGTTGCCATTCCCGCAGCTTCGCGGCGGCCGCCTCCAACCCATCCTCCGCTTCCAGCAGCGCGTCCGAGTTGATAGTTGGCAGACCCAATACCTCGGCGTCCGCCTGGAGACGCGGTTGGATCGCCGTCAACTGCGCATCGGCATCGGCGATTTGCCGTCGTACCCGCGCCGACATCGGGCGATGCCGGGGTTCCCTGGGGCGGACCGCCTCTGAAAAACCAAATGACCGCCACCGTGGCCAGCACGGCGCCAACTACCGCGAGGAAAGCGGCCGCTCCGAAGGTGGTGGTTGCCACCAGCCAGAGACCGGCTACCAGCAGCGCGACGCCCAGCAAGCCGAACGCACCAGCGAACAATCGGGACCGGCCATTCTGCGGCGCGGACCCGCCAGGTTCCGGCCCATCGCCAACCTGCGCCTGTAGGTCCTTGCTCCGGTCCTCCACGCGACCCAATTCGTCCAGGGTAGTCCTGGACTGTCGTATCCGACGGCGGCGCTCGCGGATTTCGTTTTCGTCCAGCTCGGGAGACCCGGCGCCATCCCGGTCGGCCAGCGCCCGTTGCGCTGCTTCCTGCGTGTCCGCCAGTGTCGCCTCTTCCTGCGCCAGTGCAGTCTGAGATCTATCGGCAGCGGATCGGGCGTTCTGCAGCCGCTCGCCGTGGTTGGCGACTTCTCCGCGGACGACCAGCGAGAGATCGAACTCGTTGAGGCGTTCGGTATCCCAGTCGGGACCGAGGTTCGCCAGCGAGGTTTCCAGCTCGGAACGTTTGGCGGAGAGTTCGGCCCGTCTCTCGGGGAGGTCCTTCACCGACTGGTCGAATGCGCTCCGAGCGCGTTCCAACGCACGTACCTCGCTAGAGCTCTTCAGGATGGTCAGGTGCGCGATCTCCTCATCAACGCTTGCCTGGATGCGCTTTTACCCGATCTTCCGCCGAGGTAAGCTCCTGGCGGGCAGTCTCGGCCTGTGCCTCCAACGTTTCCAAACGGATGACGCCATTCTCTGGAAAGGCCACTACCGTGGGTCGCTCCGCCAGCCGTTGTTCCGCACTGATCAGATCGTTCCAGTGATACCAGGCGCGCTCAAGGTCTTCGAGCCGATCCTGTTCCGACGCAATTAGTAAGCGGCGAGTACCCACGTCGCTGAGTTCTCGGTCAATCTCTGCCAGCCGGTCTGACTGCCGGCGGTACTCCGTCGCATATCCCGCAATTTCCTGCAACCTTGAATCAGTTTGTTCAATATTTTCAACCAGGTTGGAGACGAATTGGCTTCTACCGCGGGGCGCGAAAATCTCCCGCTTCTGGCTGTTCAATGCCGCCAGTGATGCGGGTAACCGCATCGCTCCGATACCGGCGCTGTAGATCTGCAGGTTGACACTGTCGTCATTCAGCAGTCCGTCATCGTTCAACTCATCCAGTGTGAAGGCAAAGATATTCTCAAACACACTTTTCGAGTGGTTACCCAGCAGTCTCGCCAATTCACTGCTTGGGATGGACTCCCCTGATGCGGAACTGAGCGCGACCGTACCGGCGCCCCTGCCTTGAGTGCGTTGGATGGTGATCAGTTCTCCACTGTCGGTGGTGACCAAAACTCTTCCGCCGTGGCGACCACCGGACAAGGGCGGGTAAGGGTTTGCCCTGCTGCGACCATCCGGGAACCCGAACAGAACCCTGCGGACGAATTCAAGCAGCGTACTTTTGCCGGCCTCATTGGGCCCGTAGAAGACAGTGACCGGACGTTCCAAAGGCCCAAAACTGCGGTCCGCGAACCGCCCAAAACCATCAATATGAAGGCTGTGGATCCGCATCAGTCATCCTCCTCAGCCAGCAAATTGACGGCCAGGGCCTCCGCCTCATCGAGCAGCGCCGCGATTTCTTTGTCGGTCAAAGTGGTCAGATAGCGCCGGTATCGAGTGTGTCGGTAGAGATCGGCAAGTCCGTCGCGGAACGTCTCGGGGGTCTCCCTGAGCTGATCGGCGGTGCGCAGCACCTCGGCCAGGAAATCCTCGCCGGACCGTATGGCGTCGCGGTCTATGGCCGCCGCGGTTTCGTTTTCGATCCGTTCGCACCAAACAAACGGCAGACGCTGGGCCCGTTGGTCGTTGACTTCCGCCAGGAGATCGTCCAGTGCAGCTGGCTGGCGCAGGAACCGGTTCAACTCACCCCGCCCAGTCAGGGTCATGCGGGCGACCACCGACCTGCCTTCTGCGCCATCCAGCAATCTCTGCATTGCATCGTCGATTTCGTCGAGCAGTCCTGCTCGGCTTCCAACGTGCTGATGTCGATGTTCGCCCGTTCCCATCGAACCGTGTCCGTCGGTCGAAAATCCAGGCTCACGTTTCCGCGGTCGTCAACTTCCACCAGGTAGGCGCCCCGGGCTCCGGTTTCGTTGGGATGCCGACCTTGAGAGTTGCCGGGGTACACCACCGTCGGAGTTCGGTTTCGTAGGACTTGGCGGGTGTGAACATGGCCCAGCGCCCAGTAGTCGATCCCCGCTCGCGCCAGATCATCCAGTGAGCAGGGGGAATAGGGCGCGTGGTCAGAGTTGCCGCCCACATTGGCGTGCAGCAGACCGATGGTGAACGCGCTCTCGTCCACCTGCCCGAGACGCGACACCAAGTTCTCGTACACATCCCGGGTAGGATAGCTGACGCCATAGACCAAGGCACGCTCCGGCTCGTCGGGGAAGACGGGCGCCGGCGAGAAGTCAGCGCCGAACCGGTGGCACCCGTCGGGATACGACAGCCGTGCCTCCCAGCCGTCCAGCGGGTCATGGTTCCCGTGGCAAACGAAGGATCGTATTCCGGCGGCATCCAGCCTCTGCAGACCTTGGATGAAAGCGCGCTGGGCACGCAGGCTGCGGTCCGCACCATCGTAAATGTCCCCGGCCACCAGCAGGGCATCCACACATTCGGAAATGCAGAGGTCGACGATGTTGTTGTAGGAGTCGAAAGTGGCCGAGTGAAGCGCCTTTGCGACATTTTCCGGAGCCGCTGCCCTGATGCCCGTGAACGGGCTATCCAGATGGAGGTCGGCGGCGTGAATGAATCGAAGGGGCATATTTGGTGTTCATCCAATTCGCGGGCTCTTGCCATAGGACCCTTGCGGGCCGTCACAATTTACGTTCGTCGAACTGCGAGGTCAACCGTAGGATTGCACACCGCGCCTCGCACGACCAGGGATCTTCCTTCGCCGCGGGACGACCACCAGAATGCGCTTTTCAATCAGCAAGGTAGACTAAAGACAGTCCACAATGTGTTCGGCCGCGGACTGGACTTGGACTTGGTAAGGCAACCGACCAACCCGTTAGTTCCCTTTCCTGTCAAGGGCGGTGCTCATCGTGCAGCATCCACGCACCGTAAACTACCAGACCAGTCCAGGATACGCTGGTCGGCGGTAACCAGTTGGTGGCCGTTCATGGCGGTGGCGACGATGATGCGGTCGGTCGGGTCGGCGTGGAAATCAGGTAGGGCGTTAGCCCGAATCCCGATCTCGCCGTCCACGGGGATCTCGATCAGGCCCTGGTTCAACTGATCCAGCCGCCACCGGCTCACGTCATCCGGATAGCCGATGCGGCCTTTCTCGCGCAGCATCGCCATTTCCCAGAATGAGATGGCCGACATGGCGACTTCCTCGGCCTGCCAGGCCTGTTCAATCTCGGCACGAGCCACGGGTCCCAGTTTGGCGTCGCCGGCCCTCAACCAGAGAGCGGCGTGGGTGTCCAGCAGGATCACGGGTTTAGCACCCGATCCGGGTCGACTTCCACTTCCCATTCGACTTCGATGGGGGAGATGATGTCGCCCAGGATTTCCAGCCGGCCCTTGTCGATGCCGAACAGGGACTTGGGCCGTTCGTGGTAGGCGGTCAGCTTGGCCACGGGCTTGCCGTTCTTGGTGATGACGATCTCGCCGCCGTTCTCGGCCACCTCGTCCATCAGCCCCAGGCACTTTGCCTTGAACTCGGATGCCTTCATCGTCCGGCTCTGGCCGGTGTCTGCGCTGTTGGCGGTCATGGTCAACCCTCCAATGGGATGGGTGTGGCTACCCTCACCCCATCATACAGTGGTCGTGACCATGGTCACCAACGTGCAACCGCGAGCGAACCGCTACCGCGTGTAGCCATGCCGGCCAGCAGTTCGTCCAGGCGAGCGAAAACGCTGGCGAAGGTGTTGTGGAACGGGGCGCTGAGGAGCACCTCCCGAGAGGAGCAACTCCCGAAAGGTGTGAAACCAGGCCGGCTCATCGTTTTCCGTGTATCTACCGGCGCAACTGCGCAGTTGCGCCGCCCAACGGGCTTACAGGAGCCGGCGCTTTAGCGACTCGAACTCCTCGCGGCTTATGTAGCCTTGGTCCAGCAGACTGACCAGGCGCTCCAGCTCGCCCACCACGCCGCCGGCGCTGTCCGGGCCCGGATCCCGGGCAACGGAGCGATCCACCCGCTTCACGTCGGTCACGCCGCAGAGGCCCATGGCCACGCTGAGCTCGGTGCGCAGGATCTCCAGGCAGTGGCGGACGCCCGCTTCGCCGTTGACTGAAAGCCCCCAGAAGATGGGCCGGCCCACGAAGACCGCGCGGGCGCCCAAGGCCAGCGCCTTCAGCACGTCGGCGCCCTTGCGCACGCCGCCGTCGAAATAGACCTCCAGCCGGTCGCCCACGGCGTCTGCGATCTTGGGCAGCATCTCGATGGTGCCCTCCGTGCCCTGCAACGCGTGGCCGCCGTGGTTCGAAACCACCAGCGCCTCGCAGCCGTACTCGGCGCAAAGCCGGGCGTCCTCGGCCGTTTGCACGCCCTTGATGACCAGCGGCATCGACGTGATGGAGCGCAGCCACTCCAGGTCGGACCAGTTGAGGCCCTGCTCGAAGCTCTCGGCGAAGTTCTCCCGCGTGGGCAGGTTGGGCAGCTCGATTCCCTCGAAGTTCTTCAGGGTGCGTTCCTGGTCCAGGATGTAGGCGTAACGGTACTCCCGCTCCCGGGAGTTGGCGCCCAGGTTGTCCACCGTGAGCATCATGGCCTTGTAGCCCGCCTGTTCCGCGCGGTGCACCAGGATCTCGGTCAGTTCCCGGTTTTCGAAGAAGTAGAGCTGAAACCAAAGCGAATTGGTAGCAACCTCGGCCACTTCCTCAATGCTGTAGCTGGAGGCGGTGCTGAGCCCCAGGATGGTCCCCGCGCCTCCGGCGGCCCGGGTGGAAGCCAACTCGCCCATGGGGTGGGCCCGCTGGTGAGTGCCGGTGGGGGCCAGCATCACCGGCATGCTTATCTCTTCGCCCAGGACCGTGGTGGTCAGGTCCCGTTCGGTGACGTCCACCAGAATCCGGGGACGCAGTTTGACATCGCTCATGGCCTGGACGTTCGAGGTGTTGGTTATCCAGTCCGGCGCACCCAGGTCGCCGAACAGCCGGTCGAACAGGGCTTGGGGCATGGTCTGCCTGGCCCGGGCTTCGTAGTCTCCAATGGTCAGCAGGGTGGGCTGAGTGGTCATGCGTCCTCCGTAGTGGATTGGCTGTGGCGGTCCGGCGTCAGCAGTCCGACCCGAACCCCGTTGGGATTGCCCGGCCCGGCGGAGCGCTGCCGGAGCACATAGTAGCCAGCAGCGAATAAGGCGGCCAGGACCAGCGCCGGATAAGGCCAGGCGACAACGTGCGACATGTGGCCTGGGGGAACTACAGGGCGTGCAACGCCGGTATGACCTCTCGGCCCACCAGGTCGATATGCTCCAGCACCTCGACCTGGGACATCTCCGGGTAGAACAACCGCAGAGCCACGTCGGTGAACCCCATTTCGTGGTAGGCGGCGATCTGTTCGACGCATTCCTCGGGGCTGCCCACCAGGAAGGTGTCGTCCATCAGCGTTTCCAGGTCGCCGGTCACCTTGCGGGTCAGTTCGTCGTCGGCGCCGTGGAGACCGTGATAGGCGTAGACTTCGTACTTCTTGGCGAAGTTGGCCCTGGCCCGCTCCAGCGCCTCCTCGTGGGTCGGGGCGCAGAAGAACTCGCGCACGATGACCATGTCCTCGGGAACATCGTGGCCGTTTCCTCCAGGGTCTGATGGTACAGCGGTATCTGGGCCGGAATGGTGGCGTTGGACTGGGCGGGTCCGACGTAGAGGATGTCGCCGCCCCGGCCGACCCGGCGCACCGCCGGATCGCTCATCGCGGCCTGCCAGATCTTGGGGTGGGGCTTCTGGTAGGGCCGCGCGGTGGGCCGCGCCCCGGTTACGTTGTAGTAGCGGCCGTGGTGGGTCACCTCTTCGTCGCTCCACAGCCGGCGCATCAGGCCGAGAGCTTCGGTACAGCGGGCGCCGCGCTCCGACATCTGCGTTCCGAAGGCTTCACACTCTTCCGGGCGGTAACCCAGCCCGATGCCGAGGATGAAGCGCCCTTCCGCGATGTGGTCGAGGGTAGCCGCCTGCTCGGCGACCTCCACCGGATTCAGCAGCGGCAGCAACAGGACCGAGGTGGCCAGTTTCATGTCTCCTGGCTCTGCGGCCAGCCTAGCCAGCACCGGCCAGGGCTGGAAGTGCTGGAAGGGGTCGATCAGGTAGTGGTGGGCCCAGCAATAGATATCGAACCCGGCGTCGCGGGAAGCACGGAACTGCTCCAGGTGGTTTTGCCACTGTTGCTGATGGTCGATGCTGTCCCGCTGCACCACCTGCCCGACCTGATAACCAACGCGCATATCCTCACCCTGACCCGCCCCAACGGGGGCGGCCTGTCCCGCCAGAAAGGGCGGCTCCAACTTCCCCGCAGACCGGGCTCTAGCCTCCGACGTGGCGGTACTTGATCAGCCGCTCGCCTTCGAGGTTCTGGTTCACGTAGATGTCGCCGTGGGAGTCGACCCAGACGGCGTGGGCGCCGTTGCCCCACCCGGCGTCCCGGGGGCTACCCCAGCGGGCCAGGACGTTGCCCTCGATGTCCAGGATGGACATGAAACCGTCCAGCTCCGGCACGTACACCGCCAGATCGTCGTCGATGTAGATGTCGCAGGGTCGCGCCAGGTCCGACCACTGCTCCAGGAAGTTGCCCTCGGCGTCGAAGATCTGCATGCGGTTATTCTCGCGGTCGGCGACGAACACGCGCCCGTCCGTGTGCACCCACACCCCGTGGGGGACGTGGAATTCGCCGGGGCCGGTCTTCCCCGGCGCGCCCCAGGAGTCCACCAACTCGCCGTCGGCGGTGAACCGGTGCACCCGGGCGTTGCCGTAGCCGTCGGAGATGTAAAGGAGGCCGTCCGGGGAAATGGCGATGTCGCTGGGGCTGTTGAATGGCCCGGCCGCCCTGACCACCGGGTCGCTGTAGTTCCCCGACCAGCCGGTGTCTGAAGGCTTGTCCCACTCGCCCATGGTCATCAGCAGGTTGCCCTTGGGGTCGTACTTGAGGACCACGTGGCTGTTCTTGACCGGCATGTACAGGTTCTGGTCGTCGTCGATGAACATGCCGTGGGCGTCGGTGAGAACGCCCTCGCCCCAGGAGGCGAGATAATTGCCGTCGCGGTCAAGGACGATCAGCGGGTGTTCGCCGCGGTTGAAGAGATACACCCGGTCCTCGGAGTCGGTGACGATGGCCGTCTGTCCCAACTGCCATCCCTCGGGCAGTTTCTCCCAGTTCTCGACCTGCTCGTAGGTGTACTTGCCATTGCCGACGGTAACCATGTCGTCGCCTCCTCGATAGCGCCCGGTGACCCGGGGGATAGGTTGTTGGTCGCTCTAGTAGGTTGTCAGCGTATCGATAACCGCCTGTTGCAACTCCCCGGCGCGGGCCGCAACCTGCTCGGCTGTCAGGCCCCCCAGGGGATGGGGAATGCCCAGCGGGTGGAAGTCGCGGCGGCCAAAGGTGCGGGCGTGGCGGAAGGCCGAGTCCAGGAAGGGATCGGTGCAGACCACCACCGTGGGGATGCCGAGGTTCTCCAGGGCCATTGCGTCGTGCATACTGCACGCGGTGCAGGAGCCTCAATCGGCAATCGCCGTGACCACGAAGTCGCACCGCTCGGAGAGCTCGCTTATGATCTCATCGGCGGCCGGACGGGAATAGACGTACTTGTCCACGGCGATGATGTCGCCCAGTTCCAAGTCCTTGGCAAGACGCTCACCCATGTTCTGCAACAGGAGGTCGGCGTTGGCCTTGCGGTTGCCCAGAAAGCCACCGACCTTGTCGTGCAGCGTGTCCAACCGGGGCGCGGCCCGCCAGCGGGACGCCGCCTCCGGGTCGATGGGCAAGGCCAAACCCAGTTCCCGCATCCGGTCTTGGTAGTTCGTGACAGTCATCGTCCCCTCTACAATTCTCCGATCCTGGATCTTCTATCAACCTGGGATCTTTCGCGTGACCCGGCGGGAGCCCCAGCCGGGCAGGTAGGCCGAGTGGGGGCCGCCGGCGCCACCGGCGACGAAAATGTTGATGCGGTCCGGGGCGCGGACCACCGGCACCATCTCGTCGTCGTCATCAGCATCGATGTACCTGGGCCAGAAATGGCCGCGGCGGGAGTCGCCTTGGGGCGGGCCGCCCTGGCGGAGTTTCCGTACCGGCTTGCGGGCGTGCTCGAAGAGGAACTGGCGGATGTCCCGTTTGTTCCAGCCGTCGCGGTGGAGGAACTTGGCGTGCTCGGGACCGATGACCACGAAGGTGTCGCCCATGACGTACATCTGGACGTTGCCCAGGGTGCACATGGTGTCGGCAAGAACGGTCAGGAAGTTCCGCGAGTGGGAGGCGTGGTACATGATGTTGTGAGGCGCTTCCGCCGGGAACACCGACACCGTACTGTCGGTCGGGGCGAAGCCCAGCTCGACGTGCATCGGCTCCCAGGGGTTGGCGTCCTCGTCCTCCGCAACGCAGTAGGTGTAGGCGCCGGGATGGCCGAAGGTGGCCTTGTTGGTCTCGCCAGGTATGGCGCCGCCCAGGTTGAGCAGGACCAGCTTGACCGCGCGGCCGATGGTCGCATTGGCTCGCCAACCGGAGCCGAAGCAGTTGTAGCCGCCGTTGATGTCCAGCTCCTTGACGATAGGGCCGTTGACGATCAACAGCGGAGTGTGGATGCCGGTGGAGCACATCACGCCCCGCAGGTTGAACCGCTCGTCCATCATCGCTTCGAGGGCGGTGATGACCACCGGCATGTGCTCCGGCAGACAGCCCGCCATGACAGCGTTGACCGCGATGCGCTCGACGGTGGCCCGTCCGCCCAAGGGCGGCAGCTCCGCGATGAGTTCGTCTCCCCCGCGGCCGGTGCTCTCCACGAATTGGCGGACCAGGGGTTCGGATGGTGGCACTACCGGCAAGCCATCGGTCCACCCGGTTTCGAACATCAATTCGATGGCATCAGAAACGTCGGTGGAAAGCATTATCGACCCATGAGGAACGTTGGATTATCAGTGGTTCAGCGGAGGCGAGTGTAATTCTCGTACATAATGCTGTCAACGCGACAATCGCCCACAACCCCTTGGGGCGACACTGACGCAAGGTGAGGATTCAGAAACCGCCGGCTTTTCCGGTTGCGGGCTCGGGGACTTCGCCCCAGCGTTTCGGGAAATCAGCGGCCGTGGGACCGATTGCCGTGGGACCGATTGAGGTGGGCAGATCTTACGTCGAGATGGCCTGCAGGATGGATGTCCGGTGAAGACGCGCCGCGAAGCCGACCATTGGCGTCAGGTACCCGTCGTCGGCCGCCTCGAGGGCGTCGATGTAGTCGATACGGTAGTGACGCGTCACTACAATCGGCAGGTGGTCGCGCTGCACGAGGCACCAGGCGACGAGGGCACTTGTCACTCGGCCGTTGCCATCCGCAAAGGGATGGATCTGGATCTGCACAAACCTGTGGTGGTGCCACGCCGCCACCAGCAGGGGGTGGTAAACGTTGGGCTGGGCACCCAGGGCAATCGCGTCTTATCGTGTTCGGCATAACAAGCGATGCAAAGTATTAGTATCACAGATGTCGGCCACGGTTTATTACCGTTTGAGCGCCGATGCCAGCTCGGTTACCGTCGAAATGGGCGGTCGCAAAGCTCACCACCTGCATTTTCGAGTAACGAGATACCTTTTCCTATCAGCGCCGGCTGTTATTCCGCCAAACTCAATTTAGACGCGATTGCCCTGGCTGGGCACCCCTGGGACTTGCCCGCAGCCGCTCCAGGCCGTAAAGTATGGGCGCTGTCAACTTCTACCCACCGAGAACGCTGCCCATACCCTCATGCCGGGCGGGGAGCCGTGGGTAGGACTCATCTCAAGTGGGTAGAACTCATTTCAAAAGGAAGGTCAAGATGCGACTCGACCCCATCAACCTCTATGACTACGAGGAACGTGCCAGGCTGGTCCTGCCCCACGACGATTGGGACACCATCGACGCCGGGGCTATGGACATGTTCACCACCCGGCGCAACCGCACCGCCTTCGAGGAACTGACTCTGCGTCCCCAGATTCCTGCGCGACATCGGGGAGCGGGACCTTTCGACCACCATGCTGGGTAGTGAACTCAGTATGCCGGTGTTCGTCTGCCCCGCAGGTTCCCATCACCGGGCCCATCCCGAGGGAGAGGTGGCCACCGCCCGCGGCGCCAGCATGTCCAACACCCTGATGATGCTCAGCACCGGTTCCAACTGCAGCATGGAAGAAGTCGCCGAGGAGGCCACCAGCCCCCTCTTCTTCCAACTCTACCACCGGGGTTACCACCTCACCGAAATGCTGGTCCGCCGCGCCGAAGAGGCCGGGTTCAAGGCCATCACCCTGACGGTGGACACCCCCACCCCCAGCCCCAAGGAGCGTGACCTGCGCAACCGGTACAACCGGAACTTCGAGCAGGGCAACTTCCGGGGCGTCAACGAGCCGGAGAACGTGCTAGCGCGGCACCGACGAGTCCGTCGGCTGGAACGTCAACCGCACCGTTCCCCTCACCTGGCACGAGCTTGAATGGCTTCGCGGCCTGACCGGCCTGCCCCTGGTGCTCAAGGGCATCCGCACCGCCGAGGACGCCCACATCGCCGCCGAGAGCGGTGTCGACGGCATCCTGGTGTCGACCCACGGTGGACGCCAACTGGACATGACCATGGGCGCAATCGAGATGCTGCCCGAGGTCGTCGACGCGGTCAAGGGCAATTGCGAAGTCTACGTTGACTCCGGCGTCCGCCGCGGCAGCGACGTCGTCAAGGCGCTGGCCTTGGGGGCCAAGGCCGTTGGCATCGGGCGTCCCCTCTTCTGGGGGCTGGCCCTCGACGGGGCCGAGGGCGTCCACGGCGTCCTGGAACTGCTCCGGGAAGAGATCGACCGGGCCATGGCCTACTGCGGCCAGACCTCCGTCCAGGACCTGGAACCAAACCTGGTCAACATCCCCCAGGGCTGGGGAGCCCGGCCCCAACCCGACTTCTAAAGAAACCATCTTAAAACGTGCTTGTTTTGAAGGGGAGAACAGATTACCGGCTGAATTAGGACAGGGAAAACATGTGCGGTGGCAGGTGATGGGAAAGAACGAGACTCTGCCCACGATATTGGGAATCGCGTGATCTGCTCCCCGAATTTTGCTCCAGCCGAAACGCGAGTTTTGTGGGATTGGTCTTGCCCAATGGGTGTCGTGGGCCGGGTGAAGCCCATGGCGGATATGGGCTCCGGGCCTCTGTTGGCGACCCCACTGATAGATGGCGCAATGGCTGTGGGCGCCGGCGAGCATGGCGCAGACGGCCAAGGTCAGGATGGCCGGCA